CCAGCCTCCTCCCTGGCGGCCGATCCTTCAGCAGCCTGGCAGGGGCCTGAGGAATGTGCCCAGAGAAGTTAAGAGCCCACTCAGGGCCACACGGAGTCCTGCGCTGGCAGAGAGAGGGGCGGGGAATCCACGGGGTGGAGGGGACAGATCCCCACTGCACTTCCGATGTCCATGTGTCTCCCACCCCCTGCTTCCAGCCCTCTGGGTTAAAATTAGCCGAGTTTATTGGAGGGAAGGAGGGAGCTTTCAGGCACATCAGCACCATCTGCATTCGGGGCTGCCTGCCACAATGGATGCTGATGAGGGAGCAGGTGCGGCAGCTCTTCACCCTGGGGTGGGGAGGGAGACCCTCCGCCGCCTCCCGGCCCTCCCTGGGGGCACAGCAGAAGACCTGAGCCCCTCCACGCCATCAGCCAGGGCTCCCTCACTCAGGGCTTCCCTGACTGACAGGTCTTCGGGGTGGGCCAGGGCAGACACTGCCCACCGTTTTAGGAGCCCAGACGGCCGCCGCGGTTCCAGCCCCCAGCTCCGAGGGTCCAGTGAGTCAGATGTAGGGCGTCTACGCTGGCTTGCCAAGGGCACCCTGCCCGGAACACCTGGCCCATCACCTCCCCCCACCCCGGCAGCCACAATAGCTATGGAGGCACTAAGGGCAGACCTGTGGACACCGACTTGGCAGCGTCCCCAACTCGCCCTTTCCAGATGTTGCCTCCGTCCCATCCGTCTCCAGGAGGACTTATTTTTGGGTACCAACACACCACCCACTTCCTCCCAATTTCACACTCAATAAAGCTCACTCATTAGCCCTCCTCCCAGGCTGGCAACTTTGAGCAGGGTTAGGGAAGGCAGAGCTGAGGAGAGGGAATAGGGTGTTTGGGTGCCAAGTCCCATTTGTCCCTGTCATGCAGCGTGACCTTGGGGGACATGCCCTCCTTCTCTGTGCCTCCGGTGGCTCATCCATCAGGCAGACCCAGGGACAGTGGGCCGCGCTGGGGTAGGAGTCGGCCGTACTTCCAGGAGCAGAGCTGCCCTTGGCTGGTTGCAGAGCAAGGGGAAGACATTCAAGGCCTTCAGGGTTGGGGCACCTCCTCCTCCAGGAAGACTTCCATGCCCTGCAGACTGGATCAGAACCATTTCCCCAGGCCCCAGAGTCCCTGGCACGACTGTGACCCTGCTGCATGGGACCTAGAGGGCCCATTCACCCACCCTGCCGACCCAGAGATAAGCAGTGGCCATTGATGCCAGCTCGGGGAGTGGCCCGGCAGACGGAGAGGGCACGACTCCCCGACAAGGCACTCTGGGCCCAGACCACCACAGTCACCCTCCACCTGCCCCAAACCTGCAACTCCATGGAACTGAGATGGGGTCAAGGGAAGTGTAAAGGTCGCCGGAGGTCATTTTGTCCAGCCTCTGTCTCCAGGCAGGCTACTTTAACCCAACACAGACCCACTCATCAAGCTGGGCCCCATTCCAGCACCTTCCAGACATGGCATCTAGGGAGCTCTGTGTGTCTACCGAACACGCTCCACACCCGCCAGGCTCCACTCTGTCCTCACGGCTACCCTAGGTTATGACTTTTCCAATTAACTTCTAAGGCCCCTTTTAATAGAGACGGCACAGGATTCTTTTTTTTTGTTTTTGTTTTTTTTGTTTTTGTTTTTTTTTTTGAGAGGTTTTTCGCTATAGGGTGCGTGTGCTCGCCAGAAAGACAGAGAGACAGAAAGCGAGAAATCACCCCCCGGGGGGATGGCCACACCGCAATCCCTTCTCCTCCATTCTCCTCTTGGGATCTTGGGTACACATGCACACGCACCTAGCGTGAGTTTTAAGCCACCGGGTCCGGGACGCGAACCGTGCTCAACTACATGGGAGTCCAGCGATGTAGCCATTACGCTAACTGCTGGTCCCCCACATCACAGGATTCTTAGACAAATCCTTTCTTTGGTGCTTAGTTTCAGGCCTTCTCCTCCAGAAAGCCCTCTGAGAAGACTCACCCAGACTCTTCCCCTCCCCATGAAAGGAACCCTGTGGGAGGGAGCACAGAGATGGACTGCACTTTGGGATGGAGTGGGAAACGAGGGGCACCTACCACTCTGGGGAGCACAACCGAGAGGGCCTCCTTGACAGCCCGCTGCAGGCCGACGACATCGATGACAGAGCCCAGGCTCAGCAAGGCATCCTGGAAGAGAGAACGGGGCAGTGAGGAGCTTTGTCGGACAAGACAGAGCAGCCCCGCGGGCCCAGAGGCTGTGAGCACACACCTCCAACTGCGACCAGAGCCTGAGGTTCGCAGATGCTGGAATCCCGGAACCTCAGGATCTCAGATCCAGTCTTAAAGCCATAGAATGTCCAAGTCCCCTCATCTTACAGAAGGCAAACTGGGGCTCAGAGAAGGTGCAGGGACAGCAGAGGTCTCACAGAGAGGCAAGAGGTCAGGTCTGGCCCAGACCCCAGGTCTCTTGTCCTTCAGCCAACGACGTCTTTGGCATCATAGAGAAAACCTAAGCTTCCATGTTGAAACAAAGCAAAATGAACAACCCCACATGCGAACCCTAGCTCCGCTGTACACTAGCACGTGTGTCTTCTTGATAGTCACTGGGCCTCAGTCCTCTCCCTGTAAGCTGGGGGCGACTCTGGCTTTGACCCCCTACATGCTGACATGAGGACGGAATGAAACCATGCACTAGAAGCACCTTCCAGAGTGCCCAGCACAGAGAAGGTGCTCAGCTGAATGCTCACGGAAGTGGGGCCCCCCTCACTTTCACTCAGTCTCATTTTCCAGCCCAGTAAGGGGCTGGGTTGAGAGAAGCAAGAGCCGTAGGGGTGCAGGATCCCATAGCGTGGGTGGGAGACGTGCAACTGGGCCACCCCTGGCAGCCACAGGAGGGGAAGAAGTCAGCCTTGACCGCCTCACACTGCCCATCCCAGGAACCGGCCCCGGCCTTGGAGAGCCGGAACGGAGACAACGAAGGTCTCTGCTGCTTGTCTATTCACTTGGCCAGAGCCACGGGGATCAAAGAGAAAGGTAATGGAACAGGGGGTCCAGGCCAAGGCAGGACCGTGACTCACACCATCCACTCAGCCATGCCCTCCTCCCCGCCCTCAGAAGTCCTTCGTGATGTCTGCTCTGGGGACAGCTGAGTCTGTGTTCAAAAAGCAAAGTGATTAATGGCAGGATGAAGAAGACACGGTGTGGCCCTTATTCATGTGAAAATGATAGGAGGGTGAGGGTCCTAGTGGGCCACAGCTCAATATGAACCCAAAGGGTAGGCATGACTGGTAAAAAAACAAAAAACAAAAAAAAAAAAAAAAAAACACCGCAACTTCAGGCCACACC